ATGTTTAGGATATTTTTGGCTTCAAGAACCAATTTATTAAAGCCATGAGAACTAAGCTAATATTTTAAAAATATCTAAAAAATATTTTTGTTTTCTTTTAGTATCTGGGATTATGAATTTATACGTAAAACGTCTTCCCGATATTAAAATATATTTTTTATAGACATTAAAACAATTAGATTTTTACCTAATAAAATAAGGACCTTCTTATTGAGCAGGATTTTACTTAACCCGTAAACAAATCAATAATTAGAAAACACAACATGACCTTAATATTTTTTATTAAACGATTAAACAATGCAACTTACCTTAGGTATGATATATTTAGGGTATTAATACCTTCACATTACACAATCAGTCTCTATACCAGATCCCTAATATTAGTTAGGGTATCTAGTGATCAAAGTGTTATATGACGACTCTCATTCGCCTTTTTCCATGGATAAAAAACAAAAATTCCTTATTTGCTGTATTTTTTAATTTTTAGATGCTTAAAAGTGTGGACAATGGCTATAATGCCACACACATGCAACAAACCACATAAACCACTAAGGGTTAACAATAATTGCTTATAAATTGACTAAGCTAAGTCATCATGCACTAAAGTTGATCCATCTCAGTACTAAGCTGGGTTGTTTAAGCCTTAACTTAATTGCCTAGACAACTAGATATTGGGAGTGCAAACCCAATTGCAAGGAATAAAAGGTTGATACACTACGACCCATCTGTATATCCTCAATTGTAGTGTTTAAGTTATCTTAAACCCGATCTCTACTGAGTCTACTAGACTATCCAGCCTTCAACTACAAATTCAAATTGAGTTTTAGATGGGTCAAATGATCATCCTTGTATCTCTCATACTAAATAGTATTATATGTGTTGTTACTCATTTTTGGACCCCACATACTAGAGATGATGTATACCTATTTTGAACCAAGTGTGGGAGTGTAGCTCATGTTTGCTAGAAAATTAACAAAAGCAAAGAAGAAAGAAATGTTTTTAGAATCCTATTTGAGCTGTTTTCTACTCTTTTTATCCTTCCTATTTTGCTGCCAAAATTGTTAGGTTTCTTAGACTAATAAGAAATCTTCATAATGCTAAATTCGTTCCTTAGTTATCTGGTCTTTAAGGTTAGATAAATTCCTTAAAATTTGCACACACAAAAACTAATTTTGCTGGAGTTATAAGTTTTTGTTCCAACTTAGACTCTGATTCTGACTTGATTTTGTATAATAACTAACCATGACAGCTATATTCTGTCACTCATGATATGTTGAAGAAATGACATATACCTTTTTTAGATCATAGGACTCACTATTTTTATGGCAAAACCTCAGTCATATTGGGATGCCTGGCGTTGTCAATTTCCAAAATTAGATTAGGAGATCCTTTTGACCAACTAGATTGCAGCCAGATTCTGTTCTTCAAAATAAATTTATCTCGTTTTGAATCCTTTATGAAAGTTACAGACTTGTATGCGTAGATGAATTTGAGTTTTTGAAACTTCTGATTTTAATATTAGAAGCTCAAAATATTCTCATTTAGATATATAATGAGAAAGTAAAGAATCTTGCCTTGAGAAATGCTCCAGCTTGAGTTTTTGCAATTTTGTTCTTCAAAATGAATTTATCTCACTTTGAATTCTTCATGAAAGTTGTAAACCTATACTTATAAATGAATTTGAATTATTGAATTTTTTAATTTTGATAACAGAAGTTCAAGATATTTTTGTTTGAAAATTTAACATGAAAGTAGAGAATCCTACCATGACAAGAATCTTGACCTAACTTTGCCAGTCTGATTCAAGGGATCCAATTTAATATTTCAAGAATTTATCAGGTTAATTAAAGATCAATTTTAAACTTTGAAAAGTAATTAGTTTCATTGAAGGAATTGAAAAAATAGAGACTAAATCAGGTAAAGTCATAATAATATCTAGCTAAAAATAATACATCATAAAGATAATTATTGAATCATATATAATTAATGCAATCTAAAAATATCTCAGCTACAACAAATGAAAAAAAAAAACAAATAAAAATTAAGAAAAAAAATCCTAACCGCCGTAACCCCGGCTCGTTTTTTAAAATAAAAAAACAAATTAGCCCCTCTCTTTGAAGAAACCAGGGATCTCTCTCTGGCCACGCACACACTGTCCCCTCTCCCTCTCATCAACAGGCCACCATTTCCACCCTCAGCCAACCGATCTTCCCTCTCTCACCCGAACAGCCCACTGTAATTCCTCATCTCCCGCACTCTTCCCCCTCATTAGCTATTTCCTCTGCAATGGCGCCGCAACAGCAACAACAAAAATTAACATGACAGCGCTAAACGCTTCAGCAACTTCAGCCTCTCCACTGTAACCTTCAGCAACAGCGCTGTGACCAACTCGTCAAAGCAACTTTGTGTCCCCATCGTGATCTCCTGTTGCAGCCGTGAATGAGACGACAAAACTTTAAGCAGCAATAAGCAAGAGCAGCAAAGTAGCCGGACCCTTCCTCCCATAGCGGCAAACAGCAGCAGTAACGTGACAGCAGCAGGTAAAAAAGAGCTTTGTGATTTTCTTAGATTTCTAACTTAGTTTTTTTGTTTCTCTTCTTTGTGATTTATGAGTCACAAACATTTGAAATACTAAGAAAAAAAATAAGATTTTAAAGCACATTGAATTTAAAAATGTCTAAATCGTTCGTTATAAATTTAGTCTAAATTAAACATAGATTTCAAGAGATTTATATTAGTTTTCATTGGTAACTTATAGACACATCTAAAAGTATGATCCATATGGATCAGGGTTTTTTCTGTTAGACTTTGAACTCAAGTTAAATTTATTATAGCAAATCTATCTTAGAAAAACTAATTAGATAACACTGACACCATAGCAAGGCAAAACAAACACTAAACAGCTTACATTAGATAGGGCGTACTAGGATGCTAATACCATCCCTTTATGCAACCAGTCCCTTACTTTAGAATCTCTGAAAGACCAGTTAGGATTTCCAGTGACCATAATACTAGATGACAACTCTCTTATTTACAAAAACAAAAGCCCCGACACCATATCCTTGCTTCTAGGGAGGGTCGCTGCAACGTCGAGCTCTCATGAGAGTGCGATAATATGTTTCTTGAAAAAAAATCAACAAATTAAAAAAATAATAACTTAATAAAAAAATTTATTAAAATCCAATTTATTATGTTCAGCTATCCACAAGCTATTATGCCTCTTTCTAATAGTCGACATTTTGCATGTGAGTTTCAACAAAAAAGTTTTATTAGTCTCAGATCATATCCATGAACTGTAACCTGCAAAAGAGAGTTATTGTTTGTTAAACATTAAATATTTTCATATAAAACAACAATCTAAAAAATATATACATAATAAAACAAAATCTTACCATCCTCTTTACAAGCGAAATGAACAAATTAGATTTAATAGAGGTTTAGACACATGTTAATTTGCTAGTATCCTAGGCCAAAGGGTTTCAACATGGATTTGACAACATATAAGTTCACTTTCAGCCTATTTCTTTTAGATAAAATGTTTCTTGTCCATTTGATAATTTTATCGTAACCACTCTAGTTCCACCCATAATCTAACTTAATGGTAAAAACATGTGTAACAATTGATAATGTACTATAATTTATGGAACTATACCACAATGGTTTGTCAAAATCTTTAAATTAGTTATTCATCTACAATTGAACATTTACACGCATCACCCTAATTTATTCTCATTGCATCTATAATTATACTCTTATAATGATTATTATTATCATTTACGATTTCATTCACATTGCTAGATCTAAAAGTCGACCCAACCATCCTTTCTATTATAATCTTGTACAGAATATATGATTCTACATGTGCAAACTAACATAAGTACTTCTCCAAAAACTTTTTTTTTTCTAGAAGATGTATCATAATAACATCTAGATTGAAAAACTTTTGTTTTTACACCTCTTACATGAAAATCTAATACCGCATCCACTAATATTTTTGGATTCGATTGTATGTATTTAATAAAACTCTTAACCCCATTACAATAATTTATTTCGCACAACCTTTAAGGTAAAACTTGATACATTCAAGAACTATTATCCATTACATATATGAAACCTATATAGAATATTGATGACAACATGTATTAATTAATAATATGAACTAAACAAATTACTGATGCCCAACTAATTAGTTATCATTAGTTTAACTCATACTTATTCAATCTATTTAAAAATACCTTTAAATCATTATTAATTTTTCATAGAAATGCAAATTCCTTCAAATTTATTGAGATTTTTAACTTAACAATAAAATTGGTAAAATATAAAATGTACATATTAAATAATTTATTATTTATATCATAACATATTATTTTATTCTCTTTTATTTTTATATAGTAAAAAATTGAATGAAATGGAAAAAATAAATTGAATAAAGAATAAATTGAAATTCATATTATTTTATTCTCTTTTATTTTTATATAGTAAAAAATTGAATGAAATGGAAAAAATAAATTGAAAAAAAATAAATTGAAATTTAGATCAAAACAACACAAATTGAAAGTTTTGAGGATTAATAAGGATGAAATTATAAATATAAAAGTCAATTTTAGTAGAAATTAAAAAAATTGATAAGTTTAGAGACCTAATTGAACTTGGAATTAGTTTAAATAATGAAATCAGGGGTTTAATTGAAGAAATACTAAAATTTCTGGGGCTGATTTGTGTCAAATTACAAGAATTAAAGTCCAGGGACTAAAGTGAAAATGTAGGGGTACAATACGTGGTTTAATTGATTTTATCAGGGGTAATTTTGAAAGAATTAAAAGTTAAGGAATCAATTAAGAACTACATTTGAACCGAGGACTATTTTGTAAATAGCGCTGGAATGCAGGGGTTCAATTGCTTAATCCAGGTGAAAAAGTTAAAAAAAAAGAAGAAGAAATTTCCTTCAATAAGGGCCTACTTGCTAGATATCAGGACTTCAGTGTCCAAATTGAAGAATGACCAACTCATTCGAAAACGATGCCATTTCTACATGCACTGTTTCTTCTTCTTGTTCCTCTGGAACTGGAAATCTGCCTGCGAAAAGAGGAAAGAAGAGCGAAATGATGGTGTCCCCATCCTACCCAACACCACAGCCAAGGTCACCCCATGTTTCAAGTCCTCTTTCATCCCACAAGACGCCATTAAAACGTCAAGGAAACCACCACCAACAGTCCAGCAATGGCAGGTGTCCCAATCCGACCAAATCACAAAGTCCCACACCTTATTGTTATACTGGGAAGATAAGCAGAAAATCTCACTGTGCAGATGAGAGGGGAGACCAAGAGCAGAAAGAAGAGCGCCAATCTTCTTCCAGGAACGCCAGCAACGAAGTATCAGCTCCAAGCACGTTCTTTGCGTTTCCTTTCCCCCTCAATTTTAATAACTCTTTCACTTTGCAGGCACGCGTGAACTATATCACACGTACACGCCGACAAAGGCCAAAGCCTGGTTACCAGACTAATTGGTCTAGCTGTGTTAAAAATAATAATTTTTTTATTTTTATAATAAAAAATTAAATATGATGTCCGAGTTTGATAATTTATTTTATTATAAAATATATAAATTATAAAATTAAATTTATTTTCATTAAATAACAAGTAAGTATAATTTTTTAAAATTTTAAATAAACCATAATAACATGCACAAATTATATAACAAATTTTCATGAAAAAACATTATAAAACAAGTACACATATAAGCAAATTACATATATTACATCAAAATGAAAAAAATAAAAATAAAAATGGGTTACCACAAAAAAAAAAAGGGATAGTTTTGTTACTTGATGGGGTGAGTATCTAAAAAACTTTGAACTAGAACAAAGTTGCTGACAAATTTAGTATTCAAGTGACTAGATTTGTAATGATGATGGCTTATTTGTGATAATATATATGGGTGTTGTGTGTTTTTTTCTAGAAATAAAAAAGTGAGAAAGAAGGAGAAGAGGGTAGTATGTCAGGATATAACATAAATATTATTAATAGATATACCGACAAGGACTATTTAAGAATATATTTTCTCCATAATTCCATCTATAACAATAATACTTAATTTTTTTCAGTATTCATTGGCAAAAAAATTTATATCAATGTATATTAAGAAAAATAGGAAGGAAATATTCTATCAATAAAAATTGATGTAATTTATTGATGAGTTTTTATTTATTTATTAAAATATTATTTTGTATTTGATAATTTTCTAATTGTGATATATATTAGATAATGCATCGAGAAATCTCTCTCTCTCTTAATTTAATTTTAATTTTAACTTTGTAAGCCATCTATAAAGGATCTTAGTAGCACCTTGTTCTAACGTTTTGATAACAGTAAATATTGTCACGGTTGCCGGTACGGGAACCAATTTTAACTTCCAGGCGGTGGCAGACAATGTCATTGATGCGCGTATAATTGACGTTCATGTAAGAGTTCTTGATCGACAAACTATGGGAGAAGATCTTTATTGGGCAATTAGAGGAGGTGGAGGAGGCAGTTTAGGGATAATTACTGCTTGGAAGATAAAATTGGTCCCTGTACCATCAACTGTGACCATGTTTACAGTTACCAAGTCCTTAGAGCAAGGTGCTACTAAGATCTTATTTAGATGGCAACAGGTTGCTGATCAACTTGACGAGGATCTCTTCATCAGGGTCAATATACAGACAGTTAATGTCAGTAACAAAGGTGGAAGGACTATAACGACTTCCTATGATGCCTTGTTTCTTGGTGATGCCAACAGACTTCTCCAAGTAATGCGAGAAAGCTTTCCTGAACTGGGTTTGACAAGACAGGAGTATATCGAAACAAGCTGGATCGATTCTACTGTTTTTCTTGGTGGCTACACCATCAATACATCTCCTGAAGTTCTACTTCAAAGAAGAAATATATTGAAGCACTACTTCAAAGCCAAGTCAGACTTTGTTAGACAACCTATACCTGAAACTGCTCTCAAAGGTTTATGGGAAATAATGTTAGAAGAAGACAAACCAGCTATAGTTCTTACCCCTTATGGTGGAAACATGGGCAAAATTTCCGAATCTCAGACTCCTTTCCCTCATAGAAAATGTACCTTGTTCATGATCCAGTACTTTGCCAACTGGCGAGATGCGAAAGAAAATGTTAGAAAACATACCGATTGGACTAGGATGGTTTACAGGTACATGAAACCTTGTGCTTCCATGTTTCCAAGACAAGCATATGTCAATTACCGGGACCTTGATTTGGGAATGAACAAGGAGAATAACACAAGCTTTCCAGAAGCAAGTGGTTGGGGCACCAAGTACTTCAAGGATAACTTCTACAGACTGGTACGGGTGAAGACCAAAGTTGATCCTGACAACTTCTTCAGGCATGAACAGAGCATCCCAACTCTTCCTCATCATATGAGGAAAAGAAATTGAAGAGACATTGGTCAAGGACAGAGAAAGGTTCCTTGGAGGATCACAGTAGTGTCTAGTTTCTGACCTCAATTTCTTTCAATAGTTTATCTTTCTAGATTATGTTAAATAAAAGTTTTTGATGCTGCATTAAGATGTTGCAAGAAAGTACTTGATATGATTTTAGTGATGCTGAACTTTTCTATGTTGCGTAATGCTTATAGTATGAATATTATTACCAAAGAAAAAAAAAAAAAGAACTGTTAGCAAAATATGCAACCCGTCACACCGACTCACTTTCCTGTCAAATATATTTTGTTAAAACAATGAGATAATTAAACATTTAATGCATTAAATGTGTGATTAGAAAAATATGAAATTCCTTAGATTTTTAACCATTCTTATAATTATATTATATCAGTAATGTCATAAGTCAATGTCTCATTGCACAAATCAGATAAAAAAGAAAATGCAGAGTAATAATAAATGCTAAGATAATGTCAGGATTAGTTAGCTCAACCTCAGGGTCAACTATTCACAATTCTTATATAAGCAAACCATCTGAAACTTCAATTCTGAACAAGCCAAAGCAAGAAAATCAAGCAAAATGGTGCGCTCAACTTTTTCCATTCCTTCAAACCCTAAATCAATGCATGGTTTATATATATATATATTCACGAAGTTGAACTCATTTTTTTTTAATATTATTTTTAAATTTTTAACTTTTGTTAACATATTGATTTTATTGAGAGTTTCTGTTTTTTATTTTTTGTTGGTATATTTTTTTGCCTTTTAATCTTTAATTTGATGTCTTAAAGGAAGTTTGAATTTTTATGTTATAGTAAGTATTATGAATTATTATTTATTTTTATTGATTTTGAAGAATATTTTAAAAGTTTACAATATATTGTGAAACTTTACATAATCTTCTTTTTTTAAAAAAAAACATGTTTAAAGCTTAACGTAGATGAAATATTCTTATAACATCGCTCTTGCATTCTCAGTCACAACCCAGAATTCAGGCAATGAAAATACTGCACGCGAGGGGCTATGGAAAATGTTGTTTGAAGTAGAGAGTCCTGCTGCAGTGCTTGCTCCTTATGGTGGATTGATGGGAATAGTCCTGAATCTCAGACTCCTTTCCCGTTCATGATTATGTAATGGACCATGTGGATTACAGGGATCTTGATTTGTGGATGAACAAGAAGTCCAACGAGCTTTATTATTGAAGCAAGTGTTTTTGGGACTTCTTTATCTTTTTAAAACCATATATGCTTCTCTGATATGTGTTCTCTCTTTTTCTTTTTGTTTCCTGAATACTGCTTAAGCAAACCAGCACTTCAATAATAAATTAACCAGCACTTCAAGAGTACATTCTCAAGCAAGCACTTCAAACCAGCACTTGAAGAAACATCAATCCAGGTATATTATTTTTACCAAAAAAAAATGAAGTGATCTTTCTTAGTTTTTATATGGAGTTCATACCAAATTCTTTAAATAATTTTAACTTAAAAAATATATTAAAAATAATATAATTTATATCTTAAAATCATACCTATATAAATAATTTATATCTTAAAATCATACCTATATTTAAATAATTAAATTTGTATAGATATTTCACACGCATAAGATGAAAAACATTCATAAGCCCAAAACATGCACGTGTCTATTGAAAGTTTTAGTTAATTAAACGTGTCAAACTTTCTTGCATTTAAGAATGTTATTTGTTTGTATTCCGAATCGACGTCGGAATTGGCCACAAATACATAACAGTGTTCTTGTGTATACATTTTTGTTAGCTGTCAATGCCTGTTATGTTGTCTGCTTTGATTTTACAACGTCGTCTTCTGGTTTTATCAATAAATTATATGTATATCAGTATATATATATATATATAAAAAAAACAGTGGATCCTCCTTTTATGTTGTCTGCTTTTATTGACTTGACGGAGGAAGATTTCTTGTTATCTAAAATCAGGATTTTCTGATTTTTTTATATATATTTTTTTTGTTATCTAAAATCATGACTTGACGGAGTAAGATTTTCTGTTATCAAAAATCAAGATTTTCTGATTTTTTTATATATATTTTTTGTTATAAAAAATCATGACTTGACGTCTTTCTTATGACATCCGCATCTAATCTATAATCCTTTTCGTTTTTCTCAGCTAATGTCTAGTGACTTCAGTGTCTTCCTTGCAAAGTGACCACCCTCTTCGGTCTAGGAGCGGTATTGGATGTTCTTGCTGCCATATCCCTAACTAGCTGCTCCATGAAGGTAAGATATGAATATGGGTTAGGCACAGCTATCAGCCCCATCGGTGGGGGTTTATCATCTTGTCTCTGCTCCTCTGCTGCCCCGGGCAACGATATCTTTGCCTCATGGTATGCACAGTCATCCTGATGCCCTGCTGATTCCCCATTCTCAACGTGAGCTGATGCTGCATGTAGGGGGGAGGCATTATCCGTCGATGGATGCCCTATGGTTCACTACCAGACAAAGAATTATACCCTCTTCTCTGTACAGGGAAGAATCAGTCCTAGTTCTCTGTCGTGTACGAACCGTCCTGCAAAATATTTTCAAATTCACGTCAATATTCTTCCTTGAATTTTCAACCAGATGCTTTGATACTAAATTATAACATCCTAACACACCAATCATAGTACAATCATAGTACAGAAGGGGAAAAAATGGTAAATCTTTTTTTATTTTGAAAACAACTTTATAAAAGGTTCTCCAGAATTTTTATTGAAATTTCAAGCATAATCTTGCAGTAATAGAAAGTTCCAAGTTATCTATACATATTTATTAATTATTATTTAATTATCTTAAGTTTTAATATTAATGCTCATTGATATAACAATAATTTTTCAAATATTTAAATAATAATAACAATGAGTATTAATTAGTACTTAAATAAAAAAATAGATATACATGGAAATTATGAATACATGATAATATAAATTATGTTCAAATATTTTATTTAGAAAATATTATTACAATTTAAGTTGTAATAGTTTATTGAGATACAAAATACATTAGCATATTTGTTTAGTTCTAAATAACATAAAAGGTAAATGATCTAAAATATTATTCTTATTGTGAATATAATGGACCTGAAACAAATATAAGATTGAAAAATAATTATCATAAAAGCAATACTAACATTAATAGTAATATATATATATATATATATATATATTTAAGGCTACATACTATTATATTCTTTATAATTTTCAATCTAATCCCCTTTTAATAATTTTAAATTTATTCCTTGTGAATTTACTAAAACTTCTCTTTTCATTTCTAAATTTTCCGATCAAAGTCATATGTTAATATTGAAGGACAATTCCTTTAAAAACATCAATACTAATTTAATGGTACGAACAATCATCCTTTATAGGATTGCCAATCAAATCTCTTCTTCCCTAAATCTTGAAATGGTAATGTTGATAGTTATAAATGTTATTAGTGATAAATGTTATTAGTATTATTAGTTGTTTTTATTGGAATCAACGAATTAAGTTTATCTCAAATATCGATATCAATGCAATTCAGTGATATCATTAATTATTTTTAATACAAAATAATTAATTATTTTTTCATAAAACTTTGAAATATCTTTGAAAATACCAATATCAAAGATTCTTAATATTATTAGCTTTCACACACTAGGAATAACTAATCAATTTTCATGGAATTGTTGATATCAATGTTGCCAATAATATCATTAACTATTCTTAATCTAAATAGTTAATCAAGTTCACTTAAAGTAACTTTTAAAATAACTTTTAAATAGAAATATGTATAGCCAAAACAATATTATTGAAAATTAACTATATCAATACCAATTGCACAAAGAATTATTGGCGAGTTGGAGACTATAGTAATATTTAAAAAACAAATACTTACTTCTTTTTATAACAACAAATAACAATAATACATTATAAGGTGTTGATGATATTGCTAGAAACTAGGACATTGGTCTTTGCTTCGCTATGGATTATATTAATTTTTTTAAAAATATAAATAAAACATTATGAGCATCAAATTTTTTTTTTAACAGTGTTATTAAACTTGATTAAAAAAATTTTTTAACAGTGTTATTAAACTTGATTAAGAAGGTTAATTTTGAAATCTCTCAACTCAACTCTTGCTTAACTCAAGTTTTAAATTAAATTGTGTGGCAACTAACTCAACTTAAATAGATTGATTATATAGGTCTAAATGTAATTTTGATGATGAATAAAAATATAACTTAAATTAAAAAAAAAACATCATAATGATATTTTTTAAAATATTAAAAAAATGATAAATTGGATCGACCTCGGTCCCCAGGATTTAGGTTATGGACTCTATTAGGTATAATAAATTTTTCTTATAAGCCTTTTTTATTTAATTATATAATAAAAATAAATATTCATAAAATTAAGTATCAACCATAAAAAGACACTTATTTGAGACAATTATCCATAGAAAGCAAACAAGAATCAATAATACATTTTATTTCCTAACTAGTTTAATATTAAATAATAAAATTAAAAAATAAATTAAAAGATTATAAATAAACAAAAAAACATATTTTTTTTATGGGTAAACTCGTCAAACTTGTAAATTGGGTAAATTAGGCTAAGATCTCAAATTTATGAACTGAGTTATGAAATTTACTAGGATTATAATTTTTTTTTCCCAAAACTATATTTTTTATTTAACCATACATAATAAAAATAACTGATTGCAAAATCAAAAACTAATTCAATACCGAGATTTTTTTAGATTACGATAGCCTCATAAAAGGCAAAATAAAACCAATTATGAAACTAAATTTTCAATTAACTCAGTATTTAAGAATGAAAAAAACTAATTTAAAAAGTTAAACTTATTAAACCCGAGAATTATGTCAACTAGCCAAACCTATGAGTGGATCTATGTTCTCTATAAAATTTAATAACATGACTTTTTTATGAAACTATTTTTTTTAACTATATAAAAAAATAATACATGATAAAAAATTTAAATTC